AAGATCTGTAAAAAATACAAACACATGGAGGCTAAACAATACACTACTTAATAAAACTAAAAGCTGGTTCTTTGAGAAGATAAACAAAATAGATAAACCACTAGCCAGACTCATCAAGAAAAAAAGGGAGAAGACTCAAATCAATAGAATTAGAAATGAAAAAGGAGAGGTAACAACTGACACTGCAGAAATAAAAGAGATCATGAGAGATTACTACAAGCAACTCTATGCCAATAAAATGGACAATCTGGAAGAAATGGACAAAATCTTAGAAATGTACAACCTGTCAAGACTGAATCAGGAAGAAATAGAAAATATGAACAGACCAATCACAAGCACTGAAATTGAAACTGTGATTAAAAATTTTCCAACAAAGAAAAGCCCAGGACCGGATGGCTTCACAGGCGAATTCTATCAAACATTTAGAGAAGAGCTAACACCTATCCTTCTCAAACTCTTCCAAAATATAGCAGAGGGAGGAACACTCCCAAACTCCTTCTACGAGGCCACCATCACCTTGATACCAAAACCAGACAAGGATGTCACAAAGAAAGAAAACTACAGGCCAATATCACTGATGAACATAGATGCAAAAATCCTCAACAAAATACTAGCAAATAGAATCCAACAGCACATTAAAAGGATCATACACCATGATCAAGTGGGGTTTATTCCAGGAATGCAAGGATTCTTCAATATACGCAAATCTATCAATGTGATAAACCATATTAACAAACTGAAGGAGAAAAACCATATGATCATCTCAATAGATGCAGAGAAAGCTTTTGACAAAATTCAACACCCATTTATGATAAAAACCCTGCAGAAAGTAGGCATAGAGGGAACTTTCCTCAACATAATAAAGGCCATATATGACAAGCCCACAGCAAACATCATCCTCAATGGCGAAAAACTGAAAGCATTTCCACTAAGATCAGGAACAAGACAAGGTTGCCCACTCTCACCACTCTTATTCAACATAGTTTTGGAAGTTTTAGCCACAGCAATCAGAGAAGAAAAGGAAATAAAAGGAATCCAAATCGGAAAAGAAGAAGTAAAGCTGTCACTGTTTGCAGATGACATGATCCTATACATAGAGAACCCTAAAGATGCTACCAGAAAACTACTAGAGCTAATCAATGAATTTGGTAAAGTGGCAGGATACAAAATTAATGCACAGAAATCTCTGGCATTCCTATATACTAATGATGAAAAATCTGAAAGTGAAATCAAGAAAACACTCCCATTTACCATTGCAACAGAAAGAATAAAATATCTAGGAATAAACCTACCTAAGGAGACAAAAGATCTGTATGCAGAAAATTATAAGACACTGATGAAAGAAATTAAAGATGATACAAATAGATGGAGAGATATACCATGTTCTTGGATTGGAAGAATCAACATTGTGAAAATGACTCTACTACCGAAAGCAATCTATAGATTCAATGCAATCCCTGTCAAACTACCACTGGCATTTTTCACAGAACTAGAACAAAAAATTTTGCAATTTGTATGGAAACACAAAAGACCCCGAATAGCCAAAGCAATCTTGAGAACGAAAGAAGGAACTGGAGGAATCAGGCTCCCAGACTTCAGACTATACTACAAAGCTACAGTTATCAAAACGGTATGGTACTGGCACAAAAACAGAAAGATAGATCAATGGAACAGGATAGAAAGCCCAGAGATAAACCCACGCACATATGGTCACCTTATCTTTGACAAAGGAGGCAGAAATGTACCGTGGAGAAAGGACAGCCTATTCAATAAGTGGTGCTGGGAAAACTGGACAGCTACATGTAAAAGTATGAAGTTAGATCACTCCCTAACACCATACACAAATATAAGCTCAAAATGGATTAAAGACCTAAATGTAAGGCCAGAAACTATCAAACTCTTAGAGGAAAACATAGGCAGAACACTCTATGACATAAATCACAGCAAGATTCTTTCTGACCCACCTCCTAGAGTAATGGAAATAAAAACAAGAGTAAACAAATGGGACCTAATGAAACTTAAAAGCTTTTGCGCAGCAAAGGAAACCATAAAGAAGACCAAAAGACAACCCTCAGAATGGGAGAAAATATTTGCAAATGAAGCAACTGACAAAGGATTGATCTCCAAAATTTATAAGCAGCTCATGCAGCTTAATAACAAAAAAACAAACAACCCAATCCAAAAATGGGCAGAAGACCTAAATAGACATTTCTCCAAAGAAGATATACAGAGTGCCAACAAACACATGAGAGAATGCTCAACATCACTAATCATGAGAGAAATGCAAATCAAAACTACAATGAGATATCATCTCACACCAGTCAGAATGGCCATCATCAAAAAATCTAGAAACAATAAATGCTGGAGAGGGTGTGGAGAAAAGGGAACCCTCTTACACTGTTGGTGGGAATGTAAATTGATACAGCCACTGTGGAGAACAGTATGGAGGTTCCTTAAAAAGCTACAAATAGAACTACCATATGACCCAGCAATCCCACTACTGGGCATATACCCTGAGAAAACCATAATTCAAAAAGAGTCATGTACCAAAATGTTCATTGCAGCTCTATTTACAATAGCCCAGAGATGGAAACAACCTAAGTGTCCATCATCGGATGAATGGATAAAGAAGATGTGGCACATATATACAATGGAATATTACTCAGCCATAAAAAGAGACGAAATTGAGCTATTTGTAATGAGGTGGATAGACCTAGAGTCTGTCATACAGAGTGAAGTAAGTCAGAAAGAGAGAGACAAATACCGTATGCTAACACATATATATGGAATTTAAAAAAAAAAATGTCATGAAAAACCTAGGGGTGAAACAGGAATAAAGACACAGACTTACTAGAGAATGGACTTGAGGCTATGGGGAGGGGGAAGTGTAAACGGTGACAAAGTGATAAAGAGGCATGGACATATATACACTACCAAACGTAAGGTAGATAGCTAGTGGGAAGCAGCCGCATAGCACAGGGAGATCAGCTCGGTGCTTTGTGACCGCCTGGAGGGGTGGGATAGGGAGGGTGGGAGGGAGGGAGACGCAAGCGGGAAGAGATATGGGAATATATGTATATATATAACTGATTCATTTTGTTGTGAAGCTGAAACTAACATACCATTGTAAAGCAATTATACTCCAATAAAGATGTTAAAAAAATAATAATAATAATAATTAAAAAAATGAGAACCAAACCAATAAACAAATCCACCAATGATAACAAGTGTTAAAAACTAAACTAAGATAAACATAAATATCAAAAACAAATCAGCTGCAGACAGCAAACCCTAAGTCTACAGTTGCTCCTAAAGTCCACCACCTCAATTTTGAGACGATTTGTTGTCTATTCAGGTATTCCACAGATGCAGGGTACATCAAGTTGATTGTCGGGATTTAATCCACTGCTCCTGAGGCTGCATGGAGAAATTTCCCTTTCTCTTCTTTCTTTGCACAGCTTCTGGGGTTCAGCTTTGGTTTTGGTTCCACCTCTGTGTGTAGGTCACCCTTAGGCATCTGTTCCCCACCAAGACCTGCGGCACCTTTTCCCCACCCAGACAGGAGGGGGTTAAAGCAGCACCTGATTAGGGGGCTCTGGCTCACTCAGGCTGGGTGGAGGGAGGGGTACGGTAGTCATAATGGGAATGCGGGGCGAGCCTGTGGCTGCTGAGGCCAGTGTGACATTGCAACAGCCTAAGGCATGCCGTGTGTCCTCCTGGGGAAGTTGTCCCTGGATCACGGGACCCTGGCAGTGGCAGGCTGCACAGGCTCCCACGGCAGGTGGTGGATAGTGTCCTGTGCTTGCACACTGGATTGTTAGTGGACAGCGGCAGCAGCCTTAGCATTTCATGCCCATCTCTGGGATCCAAGCTGATAGCCGCAGCTTGCGTTCATCTCTGGAGCTTGCTTAGGCAGTGCTCTGCCTTCTGTGGGCACAGAGGGAAGGAATTGCCTCTCTTTGTGCACCCAGAACAATGGTCTCTTGCCTCTTTGGCAGGTCCAGACTTTTTCCCAGACTCCCTCCTGGCTAGCTGTGGCGCACTAGCCCCCTTCAGGCTGTGTTCATGCAGCCAACCCCAGTCCTCTCCCTGGGATCTGACCTCCGAAGCCCAAGCCTCAGCTCCCAGCCCCCACCCTCCCCAGTGGGTGAGCAGACAAGCCTCTCAGGCTGGTGAATGCTGGTAGGCACCGATCCTCTGTGCAGGAATCTCTCCGCTTTGACCTCGGCACCCCTGTTGATGTGCTCTCCTCCGTGGCTCTGAAGCTTCCCCCCCACCCCCCATCTCCACCAGTGAAGGGGCTTCCTAGTGTATGGAAACTTTTCCTCCTTCACAGCTCCCTCCCAGAGGTGCAGGTCCCATCCCTATTCTTTTGTCTGTGTTTTTCCTCTTTTCTTTTGCCCTACCCAGGTACATGGGGATTTTCTTCCCTTTTGGGAAGTCTGAGGTCTTCTGCCAGCATTCAGTAGATGTTCTGTAGGAGTTGTTCCACTTGTAGATATATCTTTGATGTATTTGTGGGTAGCGAGGTGATTTCCATGTCTTACTCCTCCACCATCTTGAAGGTCCCCCTCTTCATTTTTAATTTAAAAAAATACTATCAAATTGCTCTTTTTGTAGCTATATATTTGTTTTTAATTTCATTAACTTTTCTTTCCAGTTAATTTCTTCTTTCTATTTTCTTGGGTTTTGTTGCTCTTTTTATAACTTTTTTATTTAAAAGCATGATTTATTTTCCCGTCTTTCTTATTTTCAAATGAATGCACATAAGTTATAATGTATAGAAATCTGCCTCTGAATATTACTTTAGTTGCAGACCACACATTTTGATATTCATGGGCTTCACTGTTATTAAGTTGTAAATCTGTAATCATTTCCACCCTTATTTAGTTAACTCAATTTGTTTTTAAGTGTGCTTTTTTTTAAAAAACTTCTATGGAGCTGATCCCTCTGTTGTTGTTGTTGTTTTTTCTTTCCAACTATACAATCTGTATCTCTAGATCTTGATATGCTGCAGGGTTTCATAGATATGTTTGGTAAGTATCAAGAACACAGCTGAATGAAAAAGGGTTGGATGAGAACAAGAAGCTAGAAGTTATTAAAAAATAAATTATTGTAGGTTTCTAATATGCCAGGCATTGTCACAGATGTGGGAAAAGACATTTCAATAAACAGTTACAGCCAATGTGATATGTACAAGTATGTTCAAAATACTTGTGAAAGATCAGAGGACTGAGTAACTAACCTGTCTCTATGGTGCCAGAGACGGCTTTATATAAGAAGTAACATTTGAATCTTGAAAAGATATTCCAGGGAAGAACGAACAGCATGCATATATATAGGCAAAGAGGCACGAAAGAGGACAGCATGTCTAAGGAACTGCAAACAATTTGGTGGGTCTGCACTAGCGTGTTTAGGGAATAGTGGTGTGCCAAGGGAGACAGACTGGAGAAACAGGTGGAGGTCAGATCATAAAGGACTTGTATGTCACAGTAAGTGGTCTAGGCTGCCAGCTAGTGCCACAGACACAAAACTAAAGCAACAGGTTACATCTGTTTCTAATTAACATCTCAAACAAAACAATATGAATAGGAGAGAAAAAAATTTCAAATTGACCCTACTTACCTTTCAACACTATTGAGATAAGAGGACCCATCATGGCCTCCTACTGCATATAACAGGTCATCAAGAACACTGACCCCAACTCCACATCGCCTTTTGCTCATTGAAGCTACCATTCGCCATTCATTGGTCTGTGGATCATATCGTTCAACACTGGAAATGGCATCTCCACTGCACCAACCACCAACTGGGGAAGTAACAGAAATGGTCAGGAGAATACCTGTCCTAAAGCATAGAATGTATCACTCACTGCTAACTTTTATTTGGTTAAGTCCTAATGCTTGGACTTAACCAAACGCCTCTAGAAGCAGGTTAAAACATAAGTTATGATTTTTACTTATTCCACTGGGATTGCTATAATCTTTAGAATTTTCTAAATAAGTTAGTATTAGGTCCATTTTACAGAGGAGGGCAAGGACACCAATTCAAATTATATTGGGAAGTAATGTGGCATTTAATGGCCAAAACATTGAATTTAGTTAGAAAACTAGGGCTTGACTGTTGCCTCTACATAAATGTAATGTATTATCAAAAACCAAAAGAAGAACCATACCTCAGAAGCCTGTTTAAAAAAAAAATTTCTTTTATTCTATTAGGGGAGAGGGATTTCGGCTCATCTGCTCATGACCTCATCTTGTGACTAAAAATAATACAAAAATTCTTACGACTTATAAAATGTTTTGCCTTCTGTTTAATCTGCAGTCTGTACTGAATTCTACAATATCCAACATGACATTCAGGATCAGAAAACATTTTGAAGAAATTACATTTTTCATAAGTAAGTAATAGTCAGAATAACAGGTTCAAACTGAGTTCAATAAAGCTTCTCTGAGTGTTCCCGAAAAAAACTGTAATTATAGCAGATAAATTTAATTTGTTATTCTTTAAAATCATCTCTATGTCAATCTAAAATAAGAGCTAGATTCTGGAGCATAAAAAGTGAAGTCTAAGGATAACTTAACCTCAAAACATTTGAAAACTAATGGTTTCTTGGAGGTCTCAATAACTTCCTGAGCCAGAATAAAATGCGATGTTTCTAACCTTCTTCTGGTGGATTTGAAAACTCATTCCTTATTTCAAATCTCAATATGCTGTATACATTTTATTTTATTATGATTTCATTTAAATTAGGATATTCAACTAATACTAAATCACAGTAAGTTTTGTCTATATTAATTGGCTTAAATTTGAATTCTGTTCTGGGATATATGCCTGGAGTTTCAATATCAGAGAAAACATCTTAACTTCCAACATAAAATTTGGCTGCAAATGTGAGGGTTATAAGCACTTGAGACAAATCAAACAGCCTAATTATTAAACCTCAGGCACAATTTATAATGAAAGCTATTAAAACCAGCTGTTTATTGGATTACATGGCTCCAAATCAAGTTAATATCACTTCATAATCTGTGTTCTTTGATACTAAAGAAAAAAAATAGGCCGTTAGGAAATCAAATTTAAACCTTTCCTGTGACCTGGGGAAAAAAGCAAAGGAAAAAGTTGTTCAATTCCACTGCCTCATGGCAATTTTATGTGCATTATGATTTCCAAGGCAGCAGGTGATGGCATAACGGGGACAGAACTAGCTAAGTTATTATTACAAGCCAGTACACTGTACTTAGCAAGATAAAGTGTATGCATAGTTTCTGCTGTGAGAACACTCAATTTGTGTTAAGTGATGTACTTAAGACAAAATATTGCTGAAAAGGTGACATACAGTTTTATATGCGTGAGATGTTGACTGTGAAAAGAATTACTTCAGACAGATTTGATCAAAAAGTGTTACCTTAAAGTAGGCAACTTTCACAAAGTGTCTGGAATAAGGATCAGTGAACTGAATACTAAAAAAAAAAAAAATCCCCAACAAAAAAGAAGCACAGAATTGAGAAGCATCAAGAAACCTAATGGAAAACAAGAGGACAAACCAGAAGACATCAGTAGGAGTAAAATGCTGAGTAATAAAACTACTGAGATTATAGATTTGATCTTAGGCTTCCAGGATGAAGAAATGAAGACTCAATTTTCCAAAGTTAAGTGAGAACTGGTAATTTGGCATTCCAAAGATAATGAAAAAATTGCAATAAAAACCAAAGCAAATTAAGGATTAAGTGTTAAGTAGAGACAGGTGGGTCAAGATCTAAAATAATGTCAGTGGAACAGTATCACTCAAGAATAGAGGTCAGATCTGGATAGCACAAAAAGACTGAGAAAGCAGGGAAAACCAATACAGTTGTAAGAAAAAGACCTAATGGTTTTTCTCTACAAATGAAAAAGGAAACTTTTAGTTTAATAGTGTAAAAGAGGTGACAGACGATTTAACTTTTCTTCTTTATGTTTTCCTGTGTTAACAAATATTTCTATATTTCATGTGTATTCACTTCTATAATCAGAAAAACTTTAAAAAAGTGTTATTTACAAATAGGTTATTGTGGGACTTCCCTGGTGGTCCAGTGGTAAAAAATCCACCTTCTAGTGCAGGGGACACGGGTTCAATCCCTGGTCAGGGAACTAAGATCCCACATGCTGCGGGGCAACTAAGCCCGCACCACAACTACTGAGCCCATGTGCCTCAACCAGAGAGCCCATGTGCTGCAAACTACAGAGCCCATATGCTCTGGAGCCTGTGCACCACAACTACAGAGCCCAAGTGCTCTGGAGCCCACGCCACAACCAGAGAGAAAACCTGCACCCCACAACTAGAGAGAGGGCTGTGCACTGCAACAAAGAGCCCATGCTGGGGCTTCCCTGGTGGCGCAGTGGTTGAGAGTCTGCCTGCCGATGCAGGGGACACGGGTTCATGCTCTGGTCTGGGAAGATCCCACATGTCGCGGAGCAGCTAGGCCCGTGAGCCATGGCCGCTGATCCTGTGTATCCGGAGCCTGTGCTCCGCAACAGGAGAGGCCACAACAGTGAGAGGTCCGCGTACCGCAAAAAAAAAAAAAAAAGAGCCCGTGCTGCAATGAAAGATCCCACATACCGCAACAAAGATCCTGCATGCCACAACTAAGACCCGACGCAGCCAAAAATAATAAATAAATATTAAAAAATATAAAAATAGGTTATCTTTCATGCACGAACTGACATTAGCAATCCATTATTGTTTTCCAATTTTCCTTTTCCATTAATCATGATGGGTCGATGCTAATTTCTCACTAGTGTTCCTCAGGATCAAGAGCATGCAATTAATCTTTATTGATGCCTGCTCTGACAAGATTGCTATACAATCTGGAAACTACAAAAATAAATCAGAAATGGTCCTTGCTCTGAAGTAGTTAAAAATATAGTAGAGGAATCAGATACCCAATCAGCAATATGAAATTATGAGATTACTAGCAAGAGTTTGAGATCATGGGGCTTCCCTGGTGGCGCAGTGGTTGAGAGTCCACCTGCCGATGCAGGGGACACGGGTTCGTGCCCCGGTCCGGGAAGATCCCACATGCCGCGGAGCGGCTGGGCCCGTGAGCCATGGCCGCTGAGCCTGCACGTCCGGAGCCTGTGCTCCGCAACGGGAGAGGCCACAACAGTGAGAGGCCCACGTACCGCAAAAAAAAAAAAAAAAAAAAAGTTTGAGATCATGAAACTGATCCAATTTAACTGGCTTCTAAAGAAGGCAAAGTGTGATTTCATTAATACCATGATTTAATCAACAGAGGCAAATGAGATTTTAGTGAAGATGGTTACACATTGAAAACATGGCACCTGACAATTTATAATCATGTTATATTGGAAGAATATGGTAGGAACCAGCAGGATAAAGATGGCAGCTGTTGAGTAATTCAAGTCAAGTTTAAATTTCTATTTAATGGAGTTACATTATTATCTCTCAGCATCCCCAAAGGTGTACCTTGTCTAGTTCCACTGGATTGGTAACCCCCACTGAATCCATAAAGACCCTGAAATGTACTGTACTTTCCACAAACCTATTTGGCTTAGTTTCTAGCTTTTGATCATAGGAAGGTTCTCTTCTGTTCCATTTTCTCCTGAGTTCCCATTATCCTCCCCTCTTCCTTAATCTAGTTCTTAATTCACTGCCAGAATGTTCTGAGGCTGATGAAACAGCAGTATACTGTCATCCCTTCTCCAGGTACAATAACAGCCAAATAAAATAGTTAATAGATCTTGATAACAATGGATATACCTCCACAAAGATGGCCCTACTAGTACTAGAATTCCTGAAACCAACATGGCATCATGAAAATAAACCTTAGGTACCAAATAATTAGATCTTGCATCCTTCTAATTAAAAAAAAAAAGATAACTGACTTTCATAATTGGGGAAACAGAAACTCTGATGTAATTTATAGCATTCTTGTATGTATAGGGAGCTGGCACATAAACTACTTTTATAAATAAAAGACACTTAATAATATAATTTATCTAGTTTAACCAACAAAGCTAAACAAATGTTATAAAGACCTCCCTGGGAACTTAACCAGATCTGGCAATGAATTTATTCACCGATTTATGGCAACTATAGATGGTACGTGGGAGTGAGGAGGCAGATGTACATAAGTGTGAGCATGCAAGCAAGTAAACTCACATGAGTATGTGAATATGTACCTGTGCATGCATATATAGGAATGAAAGTCATAGGAATAAATAAGAATGATAATAGAAATAAATCTATTAATAACAATAAACAAGAGACATAGGATACTGAGAGTATGGGAGAATTCAGTACATGATGAATTAATAATCAAGTTTGAAATCTAAAACAGGAATGAAGGAATCTTTCAAAAGAGAAGGAAAAAGCCCGATGAGGATTAGACAGAAAAAGAAAATGTGGCATCAATTTTCTTCTTGAAGAAATGCTACAGTCCTCTATGTGAAGAAGTTTAGATGAAAAAATTTAAAAAGGAGATCTCAAACATAAATTATCAAATTTTTCTTCTAAAAATGTAAGGGAAAATACATTCCCACATGCCAAGAGAAAATAAAATTGAAGGGAAAAAGATAGGCAAGTGGTTAGGCTGAAGGGAAAGGATACTATGCC